GTGTGTGTGTGTGTGTGTGTGTGTGTGTGTGTGTGTGTGTGTGTGTGTGCGTGCGCGTGCGTGTGTGATTTTACTCCACATGTGGTCTGCATAAACTATTAATATTATGCGTGTGTCGTACATTTGCGTGATTTTATTCTACACGTGATTTACACAGACTGTTAATGTAATTAATAATTTATTACAGTCAATTATATACTTCTTTATATTATATATTATTCTTGAGAGAATGACAGAATACAAGAGGAATTATTAAAATTAAAATTGAGTACAACTTGAGAACTTCATGCGAGCTATCATCAGAGCTAGTTATATGAAACGTGTATATGACCTTTTTTCGAAATAGATTTTATTTGTTGCGCAAATTAACGAATGAACGTTTTGCTCGCATATTAATAATTTATTTGAAATATTTTTACGTAATATTACAATTAAATATTGCGTATAAATTCTACGTAGTGGATCGGTCCATTCGGTTTTAATTGCCTCTGCTCTGACACTCTCAAGGTCGCCACTTTGTTCCGGTATTCTCTGACTTTGGCTTTCTCCGTGTCATTTTCCGGTTCATCGATCTGTTTTATCATACTTTCGTCATCGTGATGATAAGCGATTGGTTCCGGTGCAATGAACGCATTCGATTCTTTCGTAGTTTTGCCATTCTCTTCAACAATTTTCATTGCATTATTGCTTTCGCTTCCAAAGTTATAATCGTCTTTGCTGAAACCGAAGAAATCATGCGCGCTCTGAGGATCATCGAATGACTTGCTCGTCAGAGTCTGCTGCAGAGCTATTGCCTCTTCATTGTTTTTGCGATTTTCTATTTCTGGCTGCAAACTCCGTCGTTTTCTTAACAGCCGCGAATGACGTGGCCTTTCCGATGATCTACTTTGCGCGTTCCGATTTAAAAGCGGAATATTCTGCAATGTAAAGACTGATCGAGGAGATTGCTCGGCCGTATTACTTGGTAATTGTGGCCTGTATATCTTATTCGACCAATTTTCCGTGTTAAGAATTTCACTTTTTATGTCAATATTAAATGGTTCCTCAGTTTGTGGCCTACGTTCTTTAAAAGTGTATCTATAACGGTCGAGAACATTTGCTGGAATTTCCTGAGGCTGATAGTAATAGTCACGTGGACTATTTGTGGTCTCGTTCAGATTGTATTTGGTGATATTAAATGGTTTTACTTTGACGATCTGTTCACTGGCACTTTGTTGATGAGCAACGTAGACTGGGTCTCGTGGACGCGGAATTTTGGTATGTGGATTAGAAACTTGACTTTGCGTGTTCGCAGCTTCATTGGAGAAATAATAAAAATTGTAAGGCTGTCCATATGGATTTTCCGGATTACCAACGACTACGAGATAACCGGAAGGTTGTTCTGAAGACTTGTCATTCGCATCTTGTGCTGCGATTTCTTTTACAACGTGTTGATAATAATTTGGAGCATAATTTTGTGTGATAGGATAATAATTTGGTAAATTTGACGGAACGATAGTAGTCGCCGGTTCCGTATTGTCAAAGGCATAATCGAAAGGCGGTGGCCATACCTGAAGCTTTTTGTGCTCGCCTTCGTGTAATTGTCGTGGTCTTTCAGGCAAACCGATCTGCGGAGTCAACAGAGTCTGCTCTTTAAAGATTTGCATGGGACTCATATTATCTCCATTGAACCGGTTGTCCGTTGATTTATCTGTCTCTTTATAGTTCAGCCGTCGTGTAGTTGCTTGCTGTACCTTGTCATTCGCATTGATATAACGCACAGGCACGACTAGAGGTATGTATGTTCCAAAATCGGCTTCTTCCTGCGAGCCCGCGTTCTCTAATCTCACATCATCATCATCTTCCTTATCACGAAAATGTCCCGGTTTTTTAGGTCTTCTTGATGTATCATTTTGGATTCTCAAATTCTCTCTATCATTTCTATCCGCTTCATTTTCATCATTTAAGTCATATTCTTCGTATTTATTCTCCGGCAAGGCGTATTCTTCTCTAAGCTTCTGCAGCCGAATCAAATGTTCGTCGTAACCATCCTCGGCAGATGTCTCTTCCCGCGACACATCTTTGGGATTGTTGTGAACTCGTTGTGAATCATACATGTTAGTTTGAACATATGGATGCTTGAACATATTTACATAATCGCCGATTCTATTATCCTTCAATTTCTTATTGTCTAATATCTCGCCGTAGCTGTCACGAATCACTTCGGGATTACCTTCGTGGAAATAATCGCCAATAGGCAATTGCTGATATCCTATTTCTACGTACTTGTCGAAATCTTCAGGTTGTTTATATCTATTAAATTGTTTGTTAGAATGATCGTCGTGATAGTCTTCGTTTTCCTCTTTCTCATCCTTTGGGGATTGCTTCGAGAAATTGTTCGGGAGATTCTTCTGGCTGGCATACTCTTTATGTCTTTCCATGGAGCTTTCATCTTCCTCATCATCATCATGATGCGTTGGTCTTCTCTCTTCCGTTGATTCATTCTTGGAAACATCAGCGATTTCCTCTTTATGATTCCTGTATCTCTCATTTATTTCTTCCTCCTTGTAGTGGTCAGCTTCATCATGATTTCTTTCTTCTTCCTGCTGATTTAGATTCTTGATGTGCTCTTGTTGTTTGCGTTGCAATTCATTAGGTTTGTTGTTTTGCTGCTTGTTCAGCTCGTCGATATGTAATTGATGATTATATTTGTTCATTGGCTTCTTCACGTCCTTCTCATCATAAATATCTTTTTCTTTCACTGTATATCGTTCTGCGTCTTCATTATTCCTATATACCGTCTCCTCCTCTTTCCGTAAATTCTTTTCCAAAACTGGCGTTTCCGTATTTTCGTTTGAGTCACTGACAGAAACGGGTGGAGAAGGATACGGCAGTTCGAGATTCTCGACAGGATCTATTGATAGAAGATTCGGCGCAATCGGCAATGGGATCTTGACGAAGAATGGCGCCAATAGAGGCTGTTGCGACTGTAAGTTTGTCCCCAAATCCATCGGAACCTTTGCAGGAAGTGTTGATGCGGGTTGCGATGTCGTCATCATTATTGTATTATTTTGACGTCCGTGAAAGATCTGTTCATATTGCTGAAGATGTCCTAAAATGTTTGAATTATTGCCAAAGTTTAGCACTCCAGTAAACCTAATGGTTTCTTGCTGCCTTGGCACAGTAATATTCGCAGGTTGAGAAGATGCAACATTTTGTTTTACATTAATCTTGGTCATATTGGACATTGCAACGGGTTTTGTGACATTCGGATTTGGCAGTGAGGCGAATTGAATTGGAGTCACCGTGTATCCAAAAATCTGGGCCAAACCTGATAGCAGAACACCGAGACCTCTCTTATCGCGAGGATTTTCCGTAGATTGTTTGTCAATTCCATCGGTTTCTTGTATAGGAATTTTCGATAGATTTTCGCTGTACGTCAAAGGTCCTGCTCCGAATTCGGCGATTTTTTCCGGTGCCACTTCGAATGCGCGCGCGACGCACAGTAAACATAGAATTAATATTTGTACATACAATTCCATCGTGGAAGACACCTAATTGATGTTCGGAAACAATCGCATACTGCACATTGAATCTATTAAATCACTTTTAACTATCAAATTAAGACACTTTATTTTCGTATTAAATACGTGCTTTTTTTTAAATCAATCTTTATTTTATCTGAAAAATTCACACTGTTTATATTCTAGCGTTTATATTCTAGCGTTTGTTTTATGTCACCAATTACTATTATACTGTTTTTATTAGAAGATGAGCAATTATATAGATAAATGACTTAAAACTTGACTGTAGATATTATTGCAATAATTGCAGTCGGATCGCGCTACTTTCGTGCCTCAGAACTCCACGAGGACTGTCGGTTGATTGCGGCGGCATAGCTTGTCATTAAACAATGACTTGACGGGCGGGGATAATTTTTGCATAATATCGGAAAGAAATATCGAGTTTCTCTTGAATTGTATGGGCCTACTCATTGATTTGCGACAACTGAAGCAGTACGATGCAATGCGCGCGCGGGAATGATTGAGGTACGGAATCGCGCGCGAATAAGTTGGTATTACTGCTAAAGAAATAAATACAAGAAAATTATGCGCGCTCATGCGATTCTGGCTGGATTCTCTCTCGTCATTTAATTGCACACAAAAATGACATATCTGTCGCAATATTCGACAGTTTTTAAGAAAACGATAGATCCACATTAAATTTGTTAGTTTCCATCATTAACAATAATTAGGTTTTATAAATGAAAAATTGAAGATGCAAATTAATTTAATTATTCTGGGAATAGCTACAGCGAGAAAAACAATAAAAGAAATGAATTTTTAATCTTGATTATTTATAGAGAAGTCAATCGTTTGTTATGATATATTTTTAATTCTATAAAGATAAGCATTTCTTTATGTAAGGCTTAATTTTTTTTAATTTCTTACAGATATTTATTTATATAAAAATGAAGAATATTTTTTATTTGAAATTATAATGCAGAAAAAAGTTTAAGATAATTAAGCCAGCTATTAAAGATATGACAGACTTGTCGTGCATGCTTGCGTTTGTGCATTTTTTTAGTTTCCTAAGTGAAAGGGGATTCACCAGTGCGTGCACAAGCGTAAAATTAATTTGTATTTATTGTTGGTATCTCAGATTCTCAACTTAGCTTGTCTAACAAATGCAAAAATATTTTTATTTGTTCCGTTGAGAATTGCCAGTGTGAAGAAAAATTATTATTCTCGTAACAAACTTTCTTATATTCGGGTCGACAACCTTATGTTTTTAGAATCTAAAATAAGAAGCGAGGATTATTGAGAACACTACTCAATAGAGAATCGATATTGATTTCGATGAATTAAAAATTTATTTGTTAATGCATGTATGTAATTTATATTTCTCGTTTTAAATGTGCTATATATAAAAAGAAATGACTTACATTTTGGACATAGTAATGAGATGTAAATATAACATATTTTTAAAATGGATATGAAATTTGAAGAAGGCTTCTTGTAATTCAATTTTAATTTGTATTAATTAATGCGATTATTTAGCTGAACGAAAAATTTTTAAAATTCAATCAATGTATGATAAGAAATTTATTTAAGTATCTATATATGGCAGCGTTATATAAAATGTATCTATCTATCCGTGCGAACGTTATATAAAATGTATCTGTTCGTGCGAGCATTTCCATAAAAACAATTATGTTGCGTCCGACTACAGTTAATTGTGACAGTAGAAAGACGGGAATATTATGGAAGGTTACAATAAATATTAATTCGAATCGTTGTGTCCAATTAATATTGATGTGATTGATCATAAGGTATACATTAGTACTAATTATGTGCTTTTTTATCTCAATTTAAACTTTGGTATGCTACTCTTCACGCTTGAAATCCATATAAGTACTACAATTTAAATTAAATTATAGTATATATGTATTTTTCTTAAATCTTTATTGTTTTTGATTTCTTTCTTCTGACTTTTCTCTTGTTTTTATTTATAATTATTTAATTCTGTCATTGCCGGTTCTAAGTCCAAATATAAAAAGAGAAAGATGGCTGAAAGATAATTCAATTAGCGAGTAAAACGTCAACGCCGAATATCGGATAACGATACTTAAATAACCCGTCTAACTCATACAGAGATTTCATCTTGAGAGATTAAATCTCTTCGAAAAAACTGCCGTGGAAGTACGTGGGAACCCACTATGAATTTATTTTTCAAGAAAATCTATGAAATCAGACGGATAACACGGATGATGGTAGATTGAGCGATCAGACTAGGAATCGACTTTAGTACCCGGACTGGATAATGTGAAATAAGTGATCGAAGCTTCTAATGAGGACTATGTCAGGCCTTTGAAGGAAGTAATACTACTGACGTGATCATGAATGCTACAAACTTTCATTTAAGGCTGAACATCACTTTGGTACCTGGAATCTGGATTGCTACAATCACAGAAATTAATTACCGTGATGAATTAAGAAGCGGAAGAGCAATATTGGGTCTAAATGAAACACACATGAAGCGCAAGTAGGGACATTTCATAACAATACGAGGGAATACTCTGTACTTCTTTGGATACGCGGAGATAAGTACGAACGGCGTTGGCATCTTACTTCCATCATGAATATAATATGTTGCACGCATGAATATAACATGTTTATAATTCAGGACAGAATCATTACTATGAAGCTTAACACAAAGCCGAATATATTGAACGTCGTGCAAGTACTATATACTCTCTCACTGGTACAGTCATTGATGAGAATACCGACAAATACTATGAGTCGCTCGAAGCTACTCTAAATGTCTCAATTCCCATTTCTAGGAAACCACAACAATCCTTGATAATTGAAATGCAAAAGTTGAAAAAAATATTTCTTATCATCAAGTCTGTCGTCGGTATTCACGGACTTGGGAGCAGAAATGATCACGATCAGAGACTCCTAGAATTTTGCATTAAGGAAGAGAGTTCAATATATCTATAAATAAATAATGGAAAACTTTGGATGCCATCTCTAAAGGCAGAAGAATAAGTGGCATTAATTGTAAAACTAATGTATGAATTATCGATGACATGTGGAAACTCATTCAGCTTAGGAAGAATATGAGGTGAAAAGGGTTATAGAATGCAGAAATGTGAGAGGCATATGTCATCCTTTGTATCATAAATAAGAACTATTGTAAAGATAACAACTTTTTAAAAGTGTGCTTTTTAAGAGTATATTGATATTGAAAATCATTCTCTGAATTATCAAACCAATTTCTTCAAGAAAGTCCGTTTGTAAATTGTCCAAACAATTTAAGTCAAAATCGTACAAAAAAGGATTAAGATTTAAAAAATTCAATGTTATGGAGTCAGCCTGGCGAAGTCTTACAGATTACGGCATATAAAATATGATTGTGACCAGTATAATCAGTAATTGACCAGTATTTATTAATACTGACAGTACTGACTGTGTAGAGTTACCTTAAGCGCGTTTAGGATATAAAAATTACCTCGCATTTTAAAATTACGCAATAATATCAACTTTGACAATTCTCAACTATACAGTTAAACTGTAAAATAATTCAGCATTAAAATCATGCTAAAGCAGTTAATTTTTATACCAATAATAATAATAATAATAATAATAACTTTATTGATGCAACTATTTACAAGTAGTAGAAAAATAAAATATCTGACAGAAAATAAGAGCGACAGGTGCACGCAAAAGGTGTGACAACAGCTAAAAAATTGATTAGAACCTAAGTGATAATGAAAATCTCCCAATCTGAATGATAATAACAATAAATCATATAAAAAGGCCATATCAAAGAAGTCTTTTAATACTTTATAGCGAACAACAAATTCGAAACGTATATTTCGGGAGCAACAAATTCAAACAATACATCAGTGCAAAATTTGAACAAGCGACAAATTTTTTTTCGAATAATTTACTTTTATAATGTGCATATTGAATGGTTTTTCGTTATTATTTATATCTATTTTATAAGTAACAAATTCATAACTTGCATATCTCAAGAGTAACAAATTTTAACATCTTCGTACCAAATTTGAGCGAGCAACAAATTTTTTATTGATACTTCACTCTTATACCGCTAGCTGCGAAAGAAATTTTTTCATTATTATTTATCGTTATTTCGTAAACAACAAATTTTTACGTTGTTATATACCATTTTGTTATATATATATAACAAAAATGTATGTGTACAGTTACGCTATCTTAATCTTCTTTTAGCGTAACATCGTTTTTTTAATTACAATACATTTTTTTCTTTGGCAACTTTTTAGCAACAAATAAAAATGTTAGAATTGATTCTGCTCACTTTGTTCCGCTAACTTATAAGACGTTTGTTACGGCTTTCGTAAGTAGATGTGTATGACTTGCTCCTTGGTCAGAGAAAGTTGCTATTTCCTTTGGCGACGATAAAACCTCTTAGGACGACGATTCGCGAGGGAGGGATAGAATAAAAAAGCACATTGCGTTTAAGGAAGGGCTCTCGATTACATAACATCCTGAACACATTTAAGATTATGTGATTTTAGAATGAATTCGGAATATTTCATGAATGAATACAATGTAAACGGCAGTGCTATTTAAATTGAAGCAATGCAAGCGATGCAATTGTTTTATCTCTTTTAATGACATTTAAATCTTAAATATTCAAATATGAAATAAGAAATCGAGATTGCACTCATAAATTGTTACGCATTACGTTATGAATTAATGTGGCAATGTGGCGAAAACGTAATTACTGAACGAAATCAATTAATACGGTCATGTTATTCAAGCGAATATAAGGCAAAGATATCTCATAGCATTATATTGTAATTTTATTACTTGGTGACACATTTTTATTCAATTAAAAAAATCAATTTATTAAAATATTGCTTGCATTAATTTTTAATAATGAATTGAACAAATTGTATACTTGATTTATTTCTAAAATCTCATAATAAATTGTAATTAATTTTATGAATTTACAAAAAATTAATATTTATTTTAAAAAGTAATTGTTATGAACATGTTTTTCAAAAATTTACTTTATTATTGGTCATCTAAGGACATAGTTTACTTGCATAAAATGATATAGAAAAAATTTAGGAGCAAAAGTTCTTTAAATTTTCATAAAAATTTTATGTTACTTATATAATTTTTTTGGAATGATTTCTCTCATAAAGATTGTCTCGCGACAGTGAACGTCTGCAATATAGCAATGTTGTCGTCAATATTTTTTGTTTGATTCTTTGTTGTCGCGTGAAAGTGTAACATTTTTATCTTTTATAGGATAACTAAGAAAATATTATCTTCTTTTCAATGTTATATTTAGCATAATATAAATCATGCAATTTTATCATATAATTTTATTGCATTTTATTCAAATATTTTTCATAATATCTTTTATATTGTAAAAAGCAAGTGATAAAATAATATTCTAACTTCTCATTTATCTTGTATATTTCTAATTAGAAGATGACCTCGGAGATAAATCGTGATACTCTTTTATGCAATCGTTATGTCATTTAACGATTCTTTAGATGGGAGTGGTTTTGTAGAGTTGTTAGTCAAGATGCTAGTTGTATGTGCGCGCATACCGGTGGATCTAGAATTCACCAATTAAATTTAGCGAACGACTTGTATAAGAAATCCAGTATAAAAGAAGTATCAACCCCTTGGATGCTATCAGTTAGTGCGCACCATTCTTAACATGAAGCTGCTGGTAAGCATTTAATTCGTAGAGGTTGACATATAAAATTAGTGAATTTTGTCGATAACTCAATTTTGTGCATGAGATTTTACATATATATAAAAACATCTTTGATTTAATCAATCCAAAGTTTTTTTATATAAATAAACGTACTGTACGTCATTTTTCCAGATAAGAATAGTATATTTCGGAGAATATATTTTGATATGTAAATATATATAAATTGAAAAAAAGTAATAATGCCAAAAAATACTATGTATAATTAAAAAAATCTGCTTATATATTACAAATATTAACAAAATTTTGATCAAGCTAGAAACAAATACTATATTTATTTGAAACATTTATTTCATTTTATATTATCATTTATGTTGTTGTTTATTATTATTGATTGTGATACATTTTAATTGATGAAATGATCGTCCAGTTTGCAATATTTCATACAGTCTTTTGTTAATTATGATGATTCATATTCATGTTGTCCATATATCAATAATTGTTCTAGCTTTTGTTGTCGTTTATCATTCTAGTCTCTGAGAGTCTCGTCGCGGAAAAAACAACCGACGGCAATGATGTATCATCACAAGTGACCACTGTTTTTCAAGCTCAACCGAGTGCTCAGGAATTCATAGGAGAAAAAAAATTATTAAGAAAAAGAAGCTACGATCTGCTTTCCTTGCCCTACATACGCACTTACGCTCCCGTGTTGCCGTGGTAAATAGTACAAATAAATATCTTGTCAACGACGCGAATGTAAAAATCTCGGAACAGCAATTTGGTGCTGACAGTTGATTTATGTATTCGATTTCTCAGGTATCGAGGCGGATTGAGTAGCTACGGATTGTATGGCAATGGTTGGTATCCGTCGGGCTGGCCGTTGTCATACGGTGGTTGGCACAGTGATTGGTATAAAGGATGGTAAATTTCGAGTCTTGAAGTGTGACTGTCGCTAGGAAAGTACGCATCGATTTTTAGTACCTTTTTTAACATTCGATAATTTCGACGAGTGTCACAATTCGTATTATCGTAATTCATAATATTTGTTGAGTTATTTGTGGATACATTGTAGGAAGTGTCATGACAAGAGATATATCGATGTTTATTTTAAATTTAGATTTTACGATAGTTATTAATAGATACTTTGAAACTTCATATTTATGATGCCAATTAGTTGTAATTATGTATCAATTGGCACGAAGACAATACAGCACTCGATCACTTACATATAAAAAAAATAAAAGCGTTAAAACTAAATAAATAAGGCATGTAGAAAGAGCTAAATTATTGTGTGCGTACCTTCAATCGTTTCTTTATATATGTTGCCAATATTTCTTCGCATATGGTGAGATTCTTGTCCGTATCCTGTGCAATGAATCAAACGAAATCTCTTTTAGAACTCATTGCAAGACAAATTATTTCACAAACATCAAAGAAAAACTTCATTAATCATTTTCTTTGAACGAGACCTTTAAAATATTTGTTAATTCTTTGATCTTTTGTATCTTTTGCTCTTGATCGGCAGTCCGTGAAACGTTGCACATCTGGTATGATCCGTACATTTTAAAGTGAAGACGATAGGTAATTCGACAGTCAATGATTTTAGAAGTGCATACTTATCACTTATTCGCCGCAGTACGTGTCCTCATGCGCAAGTTGTTGCAGGGGGTTGCTTAGAAACGAGATGACAACAAATATTTTATCGGTTTTCCAAGTATTGAATGCTAGCATTTTTCATATTACTCTGACGAATAATAATTGTATTGCAACATGCGTCTGACAATTGCATCCTTCGATTTAAATTAGATATCGATAGATATAAATTAGATACTCATCAACTGATTTAACAGTTACCGTCTACAGAGTTATCATCTACAGCGAGTATTGAGACCCGGTGGATAAATTGTCTCTTTCCGCTTCTTTACTTTATCTAAATATACTATATTTTTATAACATTTAAGTAATAGAGAAATGTGAATAATATAAATAATTAAAAAACTTTAATGAATATAAAATATTTTATTTGTAGAGTTTGCCAAATACTGTAATGCTAGTTTCCTACGTTATCCATCCCATTACTTGTCTTCCTGTTCTTTGTTAGAGGGCAGGCGGAACATACATAAAATCGATTCTGTCACTTTCCCACAAGGATAAGGACTGATCCGAGCAGTCATTTCGGCTTAGCGAACCCATACATTGCGAATATTTATATACATTTATATATAATATATGGTTTTGTGAGTATTAATATTAATGTCAAATGTTATAAACATTTGATACAAAATGGGAGCAGAACACAGTTTAAGCTAAGAAGAGTAAAAATAAAAACAGGATTCATATACGTTTGATATAATAATAATTGTAATTATAATAATAGGATAATATATGAGAGTTAAAGATTAATTTGTATTCTTATAATAAAAAATACTTGGTACGATGATGTATTTAGAAATGTCGTAAAAAAATGATGTTAACGGGATAAATATTTAAATAGCATTATAAATATTCAAAATTTTTACTGCTAATTCAATTTGATTGCTCATGAAAATGAGCATTCTTTCAGATATATTATTTACGAAAACAATTGTCAGAATATATATTAAATTGTTGTTCTCTTTGTAAGTTTGTTATATTTATTGCTAGTTTAGGTTTCTTTTTTAAATATGTAGGGGATTATAATCAAACTTCATCGTGTGAGAGTCAAAGATCAACTCGATGCATACTTTGAGGTTGCGCGTTTATTAGCTCCATTGTGAAGAGTGACAGTAGAGGGAGAGCGGCAGCATCTCCCTCTGGATGGACCAGTTTTTTGTCCTTTCCAACTGACCAAAACTCAGAAAATAAAAGTCAAAGGCTAACTGAGTGCGTTTTATGCCACAATGTTTGTTTACGTTTGAGTGGACAGTGGTCATTGTTCTGAGGGCAGCATCCCTCATCGAATGGACCAGTTTTCAAAGCGGGCACGAGCCCGCGATGATGAGCTAGAAAAACAAGATTTCTTGTTATGCGAACAGGTTTCATTGAACGGGCGGCTACGAAGCGCAGTCTGTCGGGGAAAACAGCTTGTGATCTGTATCAAGTGAAAACTGGTCCATAGTTCAGGCCCTCAGTTCAGCAGCCCGGTGCCATCCACGTGCGATCTAGTCGAGATCAGAGATCAAACTCTCAAGAAAAGCAATGACGAGAATGGGAGCAGGTTCCACTGAATAAACGGGATCACGATCTTCAACCGCGCATCGGAAATGTAGAGCAGGTGGAATGTTTAGATCTGCGAGCGTACGAGGAAATTTCTTGTTTACGTTAATGTAATGGATTCGCGAGAAAGTAATCGATTTAGTCATGCGCGAATTTTGCTCTTTATCTTGAATATCACATGAAAATATGAAGCATAACATATACATATAAATACTCATTAAATAAGTTGTTTATTATTTATTATTAAAATAAAGTAAATTTGTAAAATTTGTAAAATTTAATTAAAATCAGTTTTTTTTACAAAATATTTTGTCGTGTCGTAATGTATTATAACTTAAATTATTTAAACGCAATATTTTAACGTGAATCACATATTAAATAAGAACAAGGGCGCGTATTTATAATAATGAAATAATAGTAATAATACATAAACATAAATGCATTAAATAAATAATTAATTTGTAATTGATAAACTTATAATTTTGAAATGGAGTTACTAACAGAATCGCCAGAATTATTTTATGGTTTGCATATTAATAGTAGTCACCATTGCAAAATCTTGTATTATATTTTTTGAAGAGAGCACTGTCGTCAAGCGTCAAATGAAGAATACGATAAAAGGAATTGTAGTTCGGATCTAGGGACAAAGACCATAGTACTGAACCAAAAGGACGCGAAAACAAAGGCCGATGACGTGTGTGTCACATGAGACGTCGAAACCAGCCCACATTGGCCACTTCTTTCACCTGTCCATCACTCCCTGTCCTCTAAAGAGGACGCTTCTGAAAGAGGACATTTGCGTTTCCGTGCTCGTACCAGCTATTGTATGCCTTTATCGGCTGTTTCATGCTCTTCTCCGCTGGCAGTTCGCTTCACTGGCGACTGTGCGTTCGGTCGTAGGAAATGTATATCTGACGTGGGAGACAAAATAATTGCACGCTATACCTTTTTAGTTGTAATCGATCTTCGTGCCATCAACTTTTATCAGTTCTTTATCGATATTTTAATTTTTGTATAGGATTATGAAAAGATGAATATTATAACTTATAACAAACAAAAATATTCAATTCACAGACATAAATTTTTTTATTAAAATTTCTTTATCAAGATTGTAATTTGAAAGGATATTTTCTCTATCAATATAAAAGTTCAATTTTAATAATATTACACATTTTTGTTTAGTTATGAATATTAATTTTTAGTTATTTATGTTATTAATTTGTGTTAAATAAAAAATGTCTTATCGTGAAAAGTTATGTTTGTTGAATTGAAATTTGAAGAACGAATATAAGTTTGACATAGCGATTGGTTTAATGAGGGACTAGTAGAGAGGCTGACAATATGAGTGTAAGAAAGAATAGTAAAGGAAACTTCCGCTGTCGAGATAATTTCAGCTTCGGTTGTGAGAACCTGTTTCCCGCGGGGGGGCCACGAAAGGGTCTTACTACCTACACAGCACATTACCTCCATTCGTATCGGTAACGAGGTCGACTTTACTCCGCAGCACTCTTCCTTCGGGATAAGGGGGTGAGAGGATCATAGACACGCGCATGGTATTACCGGGACACCCCGTATATAGGGAGGGCGTATTTGTTTTACTGCCTGGCTGCCGGCATTGGTTGAGAACGTGCTCCGCATTCTTGAAATCGTGCCACCCTTGTTACGGCATAGACTCTTCACCATCATCCCTTTCGCCCCTTCACCTCGCCATCAAACCTGGCTCTTTTCCTCGTTGCCGTAACCATCATAAGAAGGATCGTCGCCGATCCGCTCCCCTATGTCCTCCTCCGCGCGATCGTAAAAAAAATTCTTAACTCCTGTAGTACTCTCTACAATATGCATATACGTACGTTGTACAAGACATACTTTACAAGATGTTTTTGAAACTGAGGAACATTCATCTGTTCATCGAACATATCGCAATAAAATAATTGGTATGATAATAAAGGTTAAGATTACAGTATAGATCCTTTATTATCTTCAAAAATTAATTATCAACATTGAAATTATCGAATTATTTATCACTTACTACATTATAACATAACAATATATCTAGTTCGAAGACTTTAACTACATTTAGGAGATACATTTTCACACCTAGCGGCGTAATCCTTAATAAGAAAAAGTTACGGTTGTGAAAACCGCATCATTAATTTTACAGTCTTTGTCAGGATCAGCGTTAAAACGAGAAGATTGTCTTTATCTTTTTCTTCAATGAGACTATAAAAATTTTTAACTTCTGCAATGGACACAAAGTGCTTCTGAAAAGTGGAATTTCTCTTTCCAATCCTGAAGAAAAATTTACTGCATTCGTTATTCTTATACTAAACAGTTTTTCAAATTTAATTGCGATGTTAATTATTTATTATTACTTATAATTTATATTATAGATACAATTATATTAGTATACAGTTTACATTACAAAATTACACACAAAATTAGCACATAGATTATCGTCATTGTAGTAATTTCTTTTTTATTAACGTAATTGTTTAAAAATTATATTTATTTTTTTCTTCCTGAGAAGATTCTTCGTACTTTTAGATTTCTTAATAATCACAAGTAATATTATTTTTTGTTAGTTTAACTCGTAAAATTGTTATCTTCTTTAATGGTTGATCGGCTCTCTACGAGCCATCTCGGTCGGTGCCTGATTTTTCGATAACGGCGCATTGTCATGCAGACACAGTCGTCACATTGCGGACTCAGACTATCTCGGCAAGATGAGAGAAACGGCAAAGAGTCCAGCGATTTCTACCGATCCTAATTTACGGCCAGGATTTCAGGCGTTTATGTCTTTCCGATAAGGTCGTTCACGCAGATGCCAAGTCTACACCAATGGATCTTCTTCATCCCACTTTTTCTTATTCCATCCCCGTCGATTTTCGCGTGTCGATAGGACGCGATGAAATGTCAGAGCAGAGTTGTACGTTCATCGTTAACGAGAGCAGGTATATAGAAGCGAGGTGTCGATTCGTTAACGGCGTGCGATCGCGTCGAACTCACGAAATTGCCAGCCATTCTTCCACGATTTTCTGCTAGAAATGATATTGATCGACACTCGTAGAAGTCGTGGATGTAAGACTATGGATGTTTAACCGCTTCTTAGATAATAAAGTGCGATCCACGATATCTCAAGAATACGGCACAGCATGCTAGATAGTTACACAAATAACTCTTTTATCATTTATTGCAAGTCAATATCGTCTTGTATTTATTAAAAAGTAATATTTATAATGTGTGAATGTCTGTAGCGATAATTTTAAACGGATAGACGTGTGCAAAGGCGATGCAAATTAAGTAAATTGTCTTGGACTTTCAACCGATCAAACAGAATCCGTAATAATATTTGTTTAAAGGACAAGCAATCGGAGATTCGCTTAAATTGGAAATTTTGCCTTTTTTCCATCTATAGAGGGTGTTAAATTCCCTGTGAGATTCGATTGGTCGGTATTTTGCGGCGGGCACAGATTTCCTGTCCGGAAGAATCGACAAGATGGGTTTGTTCACGATTTTCTATCGGACTGACGCTTTCTTTACTGATTTCTCACGCTCTGGCAATCCTCAGGATAAGTCAGATATATTTGCTTTGTCGTAACACACAAACGAATATAATTTTGATTGTAGTAAATATTAATTACATCTAATATATTTAAATTATTATTGATGATTATCAATAGTGCATAAAATTAATGACATATATTAAATTGTTGCAGCAATGTATATTAGAAGATAATAATATTCAAAATATAATACTCAATATAATATAATATTCAAAATATAATACAGCATTATTATTATATCAGAAAAATATCAGAAAATAATCTGGACTTTGTATAAATATAATTTAATATCGATATATGTTATGCGAAAAATATTAAGGACATTTTTTTAACTCTTTCTAAGACTTAAAATTCTTATTTTCATTTTTAAATTTTATTTTGAAAAGTTTTAATTGCTGAATTTTACTCGATAATTCATTTATCGTTAAATCAGTAGGCGAGACAGTATCTTCTATATTTGCGTCTAAAGCTCGAATCTTTGATATAAAATGTCTTTGACCTCGTAATCGTGTAAGATTCATTAATTATTGCTAGATGGCCTCGCGAATTAGGGATTGAATCAGAGAATCGAAACCGAAGTATTCATGGATAAAATTCGTCATCGAGTAGAGTCACAACGAAATACAAAAATAACTACTTCGTATAAAATTTGCGTTGCGGAGTAGATCTAAATATGTAACTGATTGATTTGCAAAAGATACATAATTGATTCACAAAGTTTGGCACTTATTCTTACGTCTCGCTGTTTCTATCTTTAAATTGATCGAAACGACATTAGCATGCATATTGAAATATGTCAAATTTCTCTCATCTTTGTTTTATATTTTTGTAGTGATTATTTTATCTACATAAATCATTGTTAATTTTATATGATTTAATATATATTTGATACTAATCGAAAATAAAATTTAATTAATATTAAAATATAATAATACTTTAGTAAATACTTGAATATTTTTGCTATATAATTTTTTGCTA